TATCTCTCTGTCTCGCGCATGCCTAGATTTCTCCCCCTACTTCCTCTCTCTGCCCCGAAGTCCCACCTATACCTCCTGCCTAGCTATTGGCCATTGAGCTTTTTATTACACCAATCAGAGCAATACAACTTCACAAAATATACAAATATCTCATAACAAATCTTTTTAAAAAGAGGTAAGTCAGAGGTCATTTTACCAGACCAAATAGTCTCTAATCTTATCCTCATAGACAGGGCCACCCATACAGAGTTTGGGGCCAAGTTAACCCCAGAAACCTTAGGAATTGGTTCACCTGGTGCCTGAAGGGCTCTCCCCAGAACAGGAAGCTGTGAAACACTACCCCAGTGGGTCCAGAAGGCATAATATAATAAAGCAAAAGTGCACTATCCTTGAGTCCAAGAGTTGGAGGACTCAGCCTCCTCTCGGTTAGACTTGCTGGGAAACTAGCACCCAGTCCCTAATAAATGTTTCTCTGGTTTGGGGCCAGAAATGCTTGTCCCATGTTCATCCCATCAGTGTATTTTATTTTTGGTTTCTCACTCTGTAGACCAGGCTGGCCTCGAACCCAGAGATCCTCCTGCCTCTCCCTTCTGAGTGCAGGGATTAAAGGGTGTACCACACTGCCTGGCCCATCAGTGTATTTTAGAAGCATATACTTGATGTAACAGGTTTACATAGAGAGGAATTCAGCCCCAGAATGAACTGCACCTCAGTCTTACTTTGTATCAAGTTTAAATGAAACTTTGGACCTGAATGAGTTCAAATTTGGAGTCTTTTGAAGTGGAATGAATAGTATTTTGCATGTGAGGAAACTGAATTTAGGAACTAGGGACAAAATCCTATTAGCTGAATTGTGTTGCCCAAAGTCCAGTCTTAGTTACTGTCCAGCTGTTCCAGCTCAGAATGCAGTTTCACTGGGTTAGGCCATCATCCTGTGAACTGATGATATACATCAGTCCATAGCAGGTGCTATTTTCACAACTTAGACTAAGTGGTTTGAATTTAATTTAGTAAATCAGACGTATTAAAATGGCATGTGCCGGGCGGTGGTGGCGCACGCCTTTAATCCCAGCACTCGGGAGGCAGAGGCAGGCGGATCTCTGTGAGTTCGAGGCCAGCCTGGGCTACAGCGCGAGATCCAGGAAAGGCGCAAAGCTACACAGAGAAACCCTGTCTCGAAAACCCAAAAAAAAAAAAAAATGGCATGCTAGCCAGGTGGGAGTGTGCACCAGTAGTCCCTTCACTGGGTAAGGGAGATGCAGGGCATTGTCAGTTCAGGACCAGCCTGGTTTACAAAGACACACACACACACACACACACACACACACACACACACACACCACACACACACAGACATACACACACACACACACCACACACACACAGACATACACACACACACACACACACACACACACACACACACACACACCACACCCCCCACACACACACACCGTCTCTTTTCCTATGTGGTACTCACCAGCCAATTTTATGGAACTGCTAGGCTCTCTGTACTACCCTTCCATTTTTCAGAAGCATCCAGAGCTAGTCCATCATAGTCTGTAGGCTTTTTGCTTTATCTGCTCCCTAAATGGATTGGGCCTCAGAAACAAGAAGAGCTTCTTTTTCAGGAGCACAGCTTTTGAAGTCATTGAAACACACATAGTTCTTGGCTTTAGGCATCTTTCTCGTCCCCATGTCCAGGATCATGATCTGCAATGACAGGTTCCAGCATGACCTGGTGAACAGTCAAAACAGGAAGTGCAAACAATTGCCAGGATTACTTTTAAGCCCTGGCATTTCTAGCAATACAGCAGTGGGGCCTGTAGGTGGAACACAGCAGTAGCATGTACAGGGCCCTGAGTTCAGGCCTGTACCCCCAAAACCAACAAGGTAGCCAGAAGACAAAAGACCATCATCTCCTTATATCAGACTGTGTATTAAAAGAAAGGGGAAGTTGATTGAGGTGATAATAAAAATATTTGTCTTAATCTTTATGGCTATATAATTTAAGTTGTACTAACAGGAAAAATATTTCTAAAAGATATATTCAAGAAATAAGTGTGGCCTGGGGACTGGGAAGCAAAGAAGGAAGAGCTAAGGCTATAAAAGAAGCCAAGAGCCGGGCGGTGGTGGCGCACGCCTTTAATCCCAGCACTCGGGAGGCAGAGCCAGGCGGATCTCTGTGAGTTTGAGGCCAGCCTGGGCTACCAAGTGAGTTCCAGGAGAGGCGCAAAGCTACACAGAGAAACCCTGTCTCGAAAAACCAAAAAAAAAAAAAAAAAAAAGAAGCCAAGCCCACCAGACAGTGGTGGCACACGCCTTTAATCCCAGCACTCAGGAGGCACAGGCAGGTGGATCTCTGTGAGTTCAAGGCCAGCCTGGTCTACAGAGTGAGTTCCAGGACAGCCTTGTCTACACAGAGAAACCCTGTCTTGAAAAACAAAGAAGCAGCTGAGCCCCAGTACAGTTATCCCACCCTTCTCTTCTGAACCTATGATGACCCGACCAGCACTGCCTTAAGTTTAACCTTGGCTTGGAAAACTGTGTCGTACACACTGTCAGTGAGACCTCATAGGAGACTTTGTAATGAAGAGAAAATATTCTCAAGGCATCCTCAAAGACTTTACAAATGATCATTAATTAAATTATTGTTTTGGTTTTGATGTTTTGTTTTCTGAAATAAGGCCTCTTTGCAGCCCTAGTTGGAACTTGCTATGTCTGTCTGTCTTCCTGCTTTGCCTCAAGTGATAGGATTATAGCCATGAGCCACAGTGCTGCTTCTTGTTGTTGACATTTATTTGGTGTGAGTGTGTATTTATGTGCACATACATGCCAGAGGATAATTTTCAGGAGTTGGTTCTGTCCTTCCACCATGTGGGTCCAGTGTCTTGAACTTAGGTCATAAAAATTGGTAGTAAACACTTTTGTCTACCATTGTGCCAACCGTTGGTGTTTTGGTTTTGGTTTGGTTTGCTTTGCGGGTGTGTGTCTGTGTGTCTGTGTGTGTGTGCAGGTGCCTGTGGAGGTCAGAGCTGTCAGATCTGGGAGCTGGAGTTACAGGGTCTTGTGAGCCATCCATTGTGGGTTCTGGGAACTGACGTCAGGTCCCCTGCAAGAGCAGTCTGTGCTCTTAACCACAGAGCCATCTTTTCAGACTACCCCCACTGCACCCATACCTACCTGTTTTGAGACAGGGTTTCACTTTGAAGCCCAGACTGGCCTGAGGCTTACCCTGTGGCTAGCTGAGAATGCTAGTCTACCTCACCTCTCAAGTGTAGGCCTTATGGGTCTATGCTGTCAAACCTAACTCTAAATTTGTATAATCCAAACTATAGAGCATTTGGCATTATGGAAATCCAAAATTATGTGAAGAAAGCTTATGGTTTTCATTGGCAATTCTAGACTTGATCTTTGCCAAAGGCCAAGGAGCCCTGGGTTCTAGGCAGTTCTGACATATGCATTTCAGTAGAGTGCATGCCTGGCATGTGGGAGCCCTGGGTTCTGTCCCCAACACCAACTAGAGCTGGGTATGGCTGTGCAGACCTGTAATCCTACCATAGAAGAGGTAGAAGCAGGAGGATCAGAAGGTCAAGCTCATCCCCTGCTGCACAGTGATTTCAGGGTTAGCATGGGCTACGTGATACCTTGTCCCAATAACATACACATGCACACGCACATGCACACACGCGTGCGCGCGCTCCCCGTCTATAAACCCCTGACTAAACACACAAAGTATTTTGCTTTACGGCAGTCTCTAGTTCAGGGATTCTCAACCTTTGGGTTGAGACTCCTTGGGGTGGAATGACCATTTCATAGGGGTCACATATCAGATATCCTTTATGTCAGATATTTACATTATGATTCATAGCAGTAGCAAAATTACAATTATGGAGTAGCAATGAAAATAATGTTATGGTTGGAGTCACCACAACATGAACTGTATTAAAGGGTCACAGCATTAGGAAGGTTGAGAACCACTGCTCTAGTTTATGTTCACCTAGTTCTGAAATAAGATTTTATTATAAACTGTTTTTGTTTTGGAACTCGAGTATCACCCTGTGGCCTGTGCTGGCTTGGAACTTACTGTGCAGCCCAGCCATCCTCAGGCTTGGGGTAGTCTTCCTGCTTTACTCTCCTGGATGCTGACATCGTAGCCACTAGCAACCTGGAGCTAAACGATTTTTAAGATTTATTTTATTAAAACCAAAAAAACCTTAAATAAATAAAAAAGATTTATGTCTGTGTGTTGGGGTGGGGTGCCTACTGAGTCTTATTGGAGCTAAAGTTACAGGTGATTGTGAACCACTTGAAGGGGGTGCTGGGATCCAAACACTGGTCCTCTGGAAGACTCTTAACCACTGATTCACCTCTCCAGCCCCTAAACTTTATTTCAGTTTAATGTATTATTAGTAGTAGTATGTCTGTGTGTGTGCTCATGCACTACAGAAGCTGCTTGGGGGATGGGTTTTGTCTTTTCATGGTAGTTCAGAGACCTAACTCATGACTTTGTGTAGCACGTTTATCCACTGAGCCATTGAGATATGTGTCCTATTTGGTTACTTCTTAGAATCTATACATAATGATTGATTTTAAAAATAACTAAAAATTGGGGCTGGTGGCACACAACTTTAATCCCAGCACTCGAGGAAAGACAACTGTCTGTGAGTTTGAGGCCAGCCCAGTCTATATAGTGAGTTCCAGGACAGCGAGGGCCATATACCGGGACCTTGACTCAAAAACAAAACAAAAACAGAGAAGTGGAATTTGAATCCCTGTCATATGGCTCACAGCCACCTGTCACAGCAGGTCCAGGGAGTCTGATGCTGCCTTCTGGCTTCTGTGGGTACCCGGTGCACACATGTGGCAGACACACAGATACCACATATGCACACAAATAAAAAAAATAAATAAAACATCATTTTTAAAAGTTTAGAAATAACTAAAATCACTAAATTTCACTTTTACATTGTCACTCTTTACAAAATCTCTTTTCTCAGGAACTGAAGTGAAAAATATTGAAGCTATAAATGTTCCATGCACACAACTTTCAATGTCATTTTTCCAACGGTTATACGATGAAAATATTGTACGAGAAAGTGGGCACATTGTCAAGTGCTTAGATTCTTTCTGTGATCCATTTCTCGTTTCAGATGAACTACGAAAAGTAAGTACAGAATTTTAAATTTTCACAGTGGAAGTTTATTGAAGGAAATGAAAAATGCCAAAACCTTAAGCCTGGTTAAAACTTGTTACCTCTAACTAGTCAATCTGACCAGTGCAAACCGTCTCTTCTTACTGTGAACGTACTGTGGACCTGTACCTGTCAGTCAGACACTGCTGTCACAGGACAGTTCCTCCCGACAGTCGCCTGGCTCAGTGTATCAGCACTTCCCAGGGAAAGAGACTCTGGCCTTTTTCATGACTAGCTACTGTCTTCTGTAGGAGTCTTTACATCAAATGACTATTAAGAATATACGTGGAAAGCTGGTAATAGTGGCACATGCCTGTAAGCCTAGCACTCAGAAGGTGGAGGCGGGGATCAGGAGTTCAAGGCCAGTCTGGCTTATGTAGTTACAGGCTATCCTGGGCTATATAGCGAGACGTATCTCAAAAGCAAAACCAACAAACCTAAACTAAAAATGGGGCTTGGGACATAGCACGGTTGAGAGACTACTTCATCTAGTGTACACAAAGCCTTGGGTGTGATCCCCAGCACTTCATAAACATGACATGGTGGCACATGCCTATTAACCTAGTACTTGGGAGGTGGAAACAGGAGGATCAGGAGTTGAAAGTCATCCTCATCTATATAGTTCAAGGTCAGCTTGGGATACATGAGACCCTGCCCAAGAATTTTTTAAAAAGTAAAATAAAGAAAGATAATAGTAACTTGGTTTTTTTTAAGGATATTTTGTGTGTGTGTGTGTGTGTGTGTGTGTGTGTGTGTGTGTGTGTGTGTGTGAATGTTTTATCTATATCAACGTGTATGTACTGCATGTGTGCCTAGTGTTCATGAAGGCCAGACAAAATCTGGATTCCCTGGTATTAGAGTTACAGACGGTTGTGAACCACCATGCAGGTGCTGGGAACTGAGTCCTTTGCAAGAGGCGGAAGCTAAGCCATCTCTCCAACCCCTGTATTGTTTGTTTATGACAGCCTCATGTATCCCAGGCTGACCTTGAACTCACTGTGCGGTTTAGGATGACCCTGACCTGATCCTCAGGTTTCCATCTCCCAGTGCTGGGTTACAGAATACACCACTGTGACTGGCTGTGACTGGCTCTCAAAAAAAATCTTAAGATTGGTCAGGGAGTGCAATTCAATGGTAGAGCACACACCTATCATAACACTACTCTGTGTGATGCCCAGCACCACAAAAAGTACTAATTTTAAAGTACTGATTTTAAGGACATGTTAAAACTTCCAAAAGCTTAAAATCATAACCCTATATAATATAACTCTATAATCATAACCCATAATGTTATACATTACATTGCTTTATGATGACTTTTCTCATCTTAGGTTTTGCTCATGGAAGATTCTGAAAAATATGAAGTCTTCAGCCCGCTGGAAAGGGATGAGTTCCTGTTCCGTCTCTTTAAGCACCTCTGCCTTGGAGGGTCTCTTTGTCAGTATGAAGATATGCTCAAGCCGTATCTGGAGACGGCAAAGCTGATCTATAAGGACCTGGTGAGGTAATTAGATCTCGAGCCAGTAGAGAGAGTTCTTTTTGTTTAACCCTGGTGGGATTACCCAGCCTCACTGGTGTTCCTATTGGCAATGCCACCGGCCCTTTTGTAACCTGCCTCTCCCTCCTCCGGCCAGAAGGGTTTTGTGACTGTTTTTGTTTGTTGTTTGTTCATGAGATAATTGTTTCTTCCCAATGCTGATATTGAACTGAAGACCTTGATTTACAGGCAAGCATTCTACCACTGAGGCACAGCCCTGTCTTTAGGGTTATTATCAGTTTTTGTGTGTCTTGTCTGGTGAGACAGTCTTACACTGCAACTCAAGCTGCCTTAGAACTATGTGTTCCAAGCAGGCCTGCTTGGACAGCCCAAGTGCTGTGTTACTGCAGCGCCCAGCTCCCCAGGCTTCGTTCCCAGTCTTTCCTCCTTTCCTCATTCAGACTGGTCGTTCTCTCTGCCCCACCCAGTCCTATGCACCTGCCTGCCATCTTCTGTTCCTCTCTCCACTCTCCTCCCTTCAAATGCCAAAGGAACACAAGAGATCACATGTGCACACATGTGTGTGATGTGTGTTAAACCTTTATGCTAAACAAGTGGAAGAATTTTCATTTAGATGTAATCTTTACCCTTCCAAATTAATCCCGAAGACATGTAGTTAATTTTAAGTATTCTACTAGGCTCACCCTCCTTCTTCCCACCCTTCCTTACTTTTTGAAGCTCAAATGAAGATTAAACTATAAACTTGAGCCTGGAGAGAGGCTCAGCACTTAGGAGAGTCTCCTGTTCTTTAAGAGGACTCCAGTTTAGTTCCCAGAACCCACATGGCAGCTCACAACCACTTGTGACTGCACTTCCAAGGGATCTGATGCCCTTTTCTGGCTTCTTTGGACACTACATACATGTGGTATGCATACAGGCAAACATTCAGACACACAAAATATAAATAAAGAAATCTTTAAAAGCCATAATTTCAAGATTAGGAATTGGGAGCCATGCCTGTAATTCCAGCCCCAAGGAGGCAGAAGCAGGAGGATCACTGCAGGCTCTAGGCTAACCTGGTCTGCATTCTGATTCCAGGCCAGCCTAGGTTCCATAGTGAGACTCTGCCTAAAAAAAAAAAAGGTCACAGAAATGTGAAGGCAGCAAGACGACTCGGCAGGTAAAGAATCTTGCATTACTAACCAAATGGCCTGAGCTCAGTCTCTGAGACCCATGTAAAGGGAGAAGAGAATAGAGCATAAAGCTGACCTCTAACCTCTACACTGATGCTGTGGAAGAGAAAGCATTTTCAGGAAAAGCATGCATATCCAGCCAACATTCATCTGTAGCTCCTGTGAACCCAGGAACCTGAAGTCCTTCCTCAATGCATGCCAGCCGTGCATGCACAGGCTACCACTCCGCCCTGCCACAGGAGCCTGTGGAATGTCTCACTGCTGTGTGTAGTGGGGAAGGGTTCACTGGAGTATTTGAAACAAGTAGCTCTAGAGCTTACACACTGCAGAAATGCTCTTTCCACCAGACCCTACTCATAGTCTAACCTGCAGCTTTCTCTACATTTACAAAGGGCCTATTGGTGTCTATTAGTTATACATAACAATGGGTTTTATCATGATAATTTAATAGAAATATGTGTAATGTATTTTGATTGTATTCTCCCCATTGCCCTCTTCTACATTTTTTTGTGTTAAAATTTCAAAAAGACCTGAAGAGTAACAACAGTTCATAAAAAGAGCAGCTAAATTGATGATGTCTTATTTTTCATGATTTATTTGTATGTGTACACATGCACAAGTCCAAGGAGGCCAGAAAAGAGTGTCGGATCCCTGGAGCTGGGGTTACAGGAGGTTACAAATCACCTGATGTGGGTTCTGGGAACCAAACCCAGATCCTCTGCCTTCCCTTGGAAGTGCAGTCACAAGTGGTTGTGAGCTGCCATGTGGGTTCTGGGAACTAAACTGGAGTCCTCTTAAAGAACAGGAGACTCTCCTAAGTGCTGAGCCTCTCTCCAGGCTCAAGTTTATAGTTTAATCTTCATTTGAGCTTCAAAAAGTAAGGAAGGGTGGGAAGAAGGAGGGTGAGCCTAGTAGAATACTTAAAATTAACTACATGTCTTCGGGATTAATTTGGAAGGGTAAAGATTACATCTAAATGAAAATTCTTCCACTTGTTTAGCATAAAGGTTTAACACACATCACACACACGTGTGCACATGTGATCTCTTGTCTTTTTGTAATATTATATGGGCATTTTGTCTGCATGTATGTCTGTTCACCATATGTATGCCTGGTTCCTGAGGAGCCAGAAGAGGGTGTCAGAACCCCTGGAACTGGTTGTAAGGATATTTTCAAGCTGCCCTGTGCATCCTGGAAACTGAGCCCAGGTCCTCTGCCAGAGCAGTGGGTGCTCATAACCACTGAGCCAGTTCTCCAGGCTCTGGCTTGTTATATTTTAAATATGCCTTTTCCCCTCATCTTAGTGTTCGGAAACATCCTCGAACCAAGGAAATACAAATTACCTCTTCTGTCTTTAAAGTGAAAGCCTACGTGAGTATTGAGCTTCTTGATTACTCAGTACAGATAGAATTGCTGTACTTGTGGCTTAGGAAGTAGAGCTAGATTATGCCTGGGGGGAAAGATGCTGCTCCTAAGTATTTTCTGAAATTCAAACGTGATAGGGTACAGCTTCATGGGAGGGAGTCAGGGCTGGAACCTGGAGCCAGAAGCAGAGACTGTGGAGGGATGTTGCTGCCTGGTTTGCTCTCAGTACTCTCTTCCAAGTCCCCACAGAAGAGCCCACTACACTTTGAGCACTAAAGGCTTTCCCAGCTCAGAGCTCCAAACTCCTTCCACAGTTCTTCCCAAACAACATGGTCAGGTGTGTCCCAGCAACACCTCACTCTCTGGTACCAGGTTCTATATTCGTTTGCTCTCTGTTGTGATGAAACACTGACCTAAACCAGCTTAGGGGAGGAGAGGGTTTATTTGCCTTGCATGTCCCAGCCTCACTCCACTATTGAGGAAGCAGAGGCCGTGGGAAAGCGCTGCTTACCAGCTTGCCTCATGGCTTATTCAGCCTGCTTTCTCATGTGATCCAGACCACCGGTCAGTGTTGGCACCACCCGCAGTGGCCTAGAGTCCCAGGGCCCAAGGGACTAAGGCAGAGGGCTCCTGAGCTCTAGCTTGGTCTACACAGTGAAACCCTGTCCCAGCATACACACAAGTAAGGAAAAGCCAGTGGGCATGGTGACTCACACCTTTAATCCCAGCACTAAGGCAGGATCATCATGAGTTTGAGGCCAGCCTGGGGCACACACTTAAAGCGCAACAAAACAGCAAAAATATCATGGAAAGAATATGATTGGACTATACATTCCTTAAGGGCAAGAGTTACAGTTGTGATACATGTGTGTAATAGATATGTACTGTTAATAATACTATTGGCAGTTTATTGCCAATTTATTATCAAAAATTATTATATATGTTTAATGTTTTCTTTTTTTTATTGAGACAGACATCTTGCTGTGCATTTCAGACTGGCCTCAAACTCAGTCCTTCTGCCTCAGCCCCCAAAGGACTGGGACTAAAGGTGTGTGCCATTACACCTGCCTATGTTTCATGATACTTGGGCAGAAAAATGTATGATAGTCAAAGACTTCAATGTGGTTGAACACTGATTCAGGTTTATCTCTTCAGGACTCTGCTGGTGTGTGCTACCCTTCAGCTAAAGAGCATGAGCAGACGTTCTCTTACTTCGTCGTGGATCCCATCAAGCGTCATGTGAATGTCTTATACCACTGCTATGGTGTGGGCGAAATGGCTTAGGCTCCTCAGTCACTGGTCTCTGTGTAAGCACTAGTGGACGGAGGTGTGCTCTGGCAGAGCAGTTGAAAGCAACTGTCAAGAGCCTATTTCCAGCTGAAACACTAAAGTGCCTCTCTCTCTACATTTGCCCACACACTCCTGCAGGGATCCCTGAAGGAACCTGCACAGAGCAGAAAGTCACAGTTTGTTTCTTCTATCAAGATGCAGCCACATTCTCAATTTCCTGTATTTTACAGTTGTTTGGCAAAGACAGACAGATCTCCATGAGTTTGTGGCCAGCCTGGCCTACAGAACTAGTGCCAGGACAGCCAAACCCTGTCTTGAAAAACCAAATACATAAATTAAACTGTTTTTAGTTTTTTGAGAAGTGTCTCATCTAGCCCAGGACAAATGAGCCTTAAACTCACTATGTAGCAGAAGCTGCTCTTGAACTCCTGATCCGCCTGCTCTATCTCTTGGGATACAAACATGTCCCGCCAGGCCTTGCTGTAAGTATTTTGTTTGGGAAGCTAATTAATTCTGGATTAGAATCGAAGCATTCGACATTTCCACCACCAGTCATTAATGTGAATTAGTACAGTCTGTAAACTTCAGTTCACGTAATTACATTTTTCTCATTGCAGAAAGGTTTATGTCTCGCTGGTGTAATGGTGCACACCTTCAGTCCCAGCACTCAGGAGGCAGAGGCAGCAGATCTCTGTGAGTTTGAGACTAGCCTGGTCTACAGAGCGAGTTCTAGGATAGCCAGGGCTATACAGAGAAATGCTGTCTTGAAAAGAAAAAAGGAAAAAAAAAGGAAGGTTTATGTCTGTACAGTTAGGAGAAAACAGAATTCTTTTACTTCAATTTTTTTCCACTTAAAATCCTCAATTAAAAATAATTGTAAATTCTTATTCTATAACAAATTCCAACTCTGACTGCCATACCGTTTCTACTGCTGCACAGTAGTGATACAGATGTTATGGGGCACACGGGAGGTGGTGCTGTACCGTTTCTACTGCTACATAGTAGTGATACAGATGTTATGGGGCACACGGGAGGTGGTGCCATACCGTTTCTACTGCTGCACAGTAGTGATACAGATGTTATGGGGCACACTGGAGGTGGTGCCATACCGTTTCTACTGCTGCACAGTAGTGATACAGATGTTATGGGGCACACTGGAGGTGGTGCTGCCAATACTGGAACCCAGCATTCTGCGCATGAATGCTAGGCAAGTGCTCTACCCACCGTGACGTCAGTGCGAGGTCTCATAGCTGGTCTGCAGATTATCCAGGGATAACCTGAGATAACACAGAAACCCAGTTCCAAAAAAACCCAAAACTAAAACAACAACAAAAAACAAAAGCCAGCAACAAAATGGAATTGATGGGCCAACAAGATGACTGAGTGACAGGTGCTTGGTGACAAGGCTAGCAGACCTGATTCTAGCCTCAGGACCCGAGCAGTGGAAGAAGACAGTGCAGGTTGTCCTCTGACCTCCGTACCCAGACCATGGCTCCATAAATAAATGTAATTAAAAAAAACTCAGATCAGGGCTGGGAGCATAGCCCCATGCCAGAGCACTTGCCTGCAGTGTGTGAGTTCCTGTGTTCAGCCCCAACACTGCAAAAGAAGAAATGGAGTCAGACAAAATCAATGTGACCCAAAAAGGAAAGGGTTAGGCGGCTGGCTGAGTTCTGAGGTTACAGGGCTCTGCGACCCGGAAGTGGGGTTTGTGGGGGAAGTTGTGGTTAGCCAGGGGAAATCCCTCAGCTGAGCCTTCCCTTTTCCTCTATGCCCTGAGCCTTTGTTCTCTGATTCACAAGCCCGCAGGCATTGTTCTTGAGGCACTGCTCTAAGCTGCGCTCCACTCTTGGACCTCACACTTTTGAAAACAGGTTTACAGACCCTAAAAGCTGGCTGGAGGCTTTTTAAGGAACTATCCTAAATTCTCTTAACCAATTAATCAGCACTAAATGGTACAAACTAATGTAGCTGGGTGTGGCTGCACACACCTATAATCCTAACAGGTGGGAGGCTTTTCAAAACAAACAAAAACCTGTTTTTGTTTATTATAATTGCCTACTGTGTTCCAGCCACAATGCACGTATTCTGTGTAAAGGTTTGGAGTGGTGAGTCCTGCTTGTAGTCTCACTACTAGAGAGGCCTTAGCTGGGATTCCTGCAAGTCTGAGGCCAGGATGACCCACATGATGGCCTGACTGGAGACGAAGACGACAAGGGCTCTCAAAAAGGACCTGAATGTGGTTCCCAGCACCATCAGGCCACTCACAGTCCTCGGTACTCCAGGGAGTCCGACACCGGCTTCTGACCTCCCCAGGCATCTGCATGCATGTGCACACATTCACATACATACACATACTTTATACATAAATACATTTTTTCAAAGAGTAAGCTCTTTTCTTGTTCTGCCCATTCTCTACAAAAGGTTAAAATTTAATATATTTTTAAAGGTGTATTTTTATTTTTGTGTGAATGTGTGCATGTGAGTGTGTGTGTGTGTGTATGTCACATGTTCAAATGCTCAAGGAGGCCAGAAGATGGTGTCAGACCCCTGAAGCTGAAGTTACAGGCAGTTTTAAGCCACCCAATGTAAGTGCTGGGAACTGAGTCATGTCCCCCCAATGTAAATTCTGGGAACTGTGTCATGCCCCCCCCCCCCCAGAGCAGTAAGCACCCTTAATCCCTGAGCTATCCCTCTAGCTCTGATGTAAGTTTTAAGCAAAGACCCCTGTGACCATTATGTGGTAAATGGGTTCAAGAGGCTATGTAGAAGTGAGAAAACAGTGTCTGAACTAATGACTACGAAAAGCAGTTGAGCTAGATGGCTTCTGTGAAGATGGAGTATTATGGGAAGAATTGAGCCCTCTTCCTGAATTTGTCTTACAAATATACGTTCATTTTTGTTTTGTCTAACAAAAAAAAATTAATTGGTAGTACCCCAGAAGGTAACTGTATTTGGAGATAGTACCTTTAAAGAGATAATTAAAATGAAATTAGATTGTATGGGGTAGGCCAATCTTATTGCTGTTCTTAGAAGGGAAACAGGTTGGAACACAGAAGGAGCTGGGCAAGATGGCTCAGGGGATCAAGGAGGTTGCTGCATAAACTGACTACCTGAGTTTGGTCTCCAGAACCCACAATGGAAGAGAGAAACAATTCTTAAAGTTCTCCTTTGATTTCTGTAATGTGTGGCGTGCATACACACACACACACACACACACACACACACACACACACCAATAAATTTTTTTTTTTTAAAAAAAAAACAGAGATAGACCAACAGGGAAGAACGTGCAGAAACCAGGAATACAAACAAGAATTAAACCTCAGGAGAAACCAACCTCACAAAGGCCTTGACCTCAGGCTTCTGGTCTCCAGGACTATTGGGAAACATGCTGCTGCTCAGACCGGCTAAGAGGGAGGGAAGTAAATGTTCCAGATGCTGCCTTGAACCCGGAACCAGTGCTACTTGCTGGTGGACTTCAAAGAGACTTGTGTGCATTAGAACAGTTGGGAGTTAGCATGGTGATGGCAGTGAACAGAGGCTTTGAGATCAAGAGGGATGGGAACTAATGAGATGGCTACTGTGTGTGGAAGCCTTGCGAACTGGACAAGTGCTGTGCAGATGAAGTCACTGTTAACTTCTTCATGGCTGATGTTAGTGTGAGATACACAATGGGGACCAAGCAGTTTTCAATGGGTGAGCAAGGATGAAAACTGGTGTGGAATGGTAAAAGATTGATGGGAACAGGAAAGACTTGATGGACACTGGGAGAGCAGCCAGGAGCTGACTGGAAAAACTGAGGTGTGAGTTGAGAAGGGGCTGATGTCTCTGAGAAAGTCAGAGGGACTAGAGACACTTCAGTAACACACACACACACACACACACACACACACACACACACACACACACACACACAGAAGCACACCACACCATTTTCTATATACACAGCAATCCTGCCCAAACCAACTCATCTCTTAAGCAGCCTGTGTAAAATCAGGATGGATGCCTACAACACATGCTTTGTGGAGAAAATGAATAAATGTTCATATAATAGAAAAATAATCTAGCCTCGAATTTTTGAAAATCCTCCCTCCTCTGCTTCCTCAATGCCTGGATTGCAGGCATGCACCCCCATGCCCAGCTAGAGAAGTAATTATATTTTGTCTTTCTAGTGAGGTTCTCACAGAATACAGAATTCTCTATCACTAACGAGCTCTATGGCTCTGCGCAAATCACACACACCAGTCTGTCCCAGAAGCCTCTGTGATGAGGGGACCACACAATGCCAGTCATAGCCACACATGAAGTTCTCAGTGCCTTTAGTGGTTGCCCTACCAAACAGTGCAGAACAACCCCCTGAAACCACAGAAGCTTCCTTGAAGGAGCAAACTATGATCTGGGCTCTTGTTTGCCTTTTAGTTCTAACACCCTGCCATTCCAACTCACACAAATGCATGGGCTTCACAGAAGAGAACAAGTTCTGACCTCCCCAAACAAAACATATTACTAAAGAATGTGACATTATATTTTGTACATATAGAGAAGTAGACAAGTATTAATCAGTTGTATATAAATGATGTTTTCGATGATCTGTGGTTTGTATACTATACCATTAACTGGAAAATTCATGGTGAATTTGAAGAGGAGTCAGAGCTGTGGGAAGATGACTGAAGAGTTGAGGAGCAGACTGAGTCAAGGTTAAGCAACTGATTTGTTTAGAGAAACAGACAGGCAAGCTTTACCATGGTATTCCAGCATAGAAGTTATTCAATAGTACCAGCCATTCTTCATTGACCAGACAAAACCCTAGGAAACTACATAGGCTTTAAGAGTTGTTTCCAGAGTTCGGCATTTTATTTACTTTATTTTTAAGATTTATTTATTTATTATGTATACAGCATGTATGACTGCAGGCCAGAAGAGGGCACCAGATCTCATTACAGATGGTTGTGAGCCACCATGTGGTTGCTGGGAATTGAACTCAGGACCTCTGGAAGAACAGTCAGTGCTCTTAACCTCTGAGCCATCTCTCCAGCCCGAGTTTTACTTACGTGTGTGTGTGTGTGTGTGTGTGTGTGTGTGTGTGTGTGTGTATGTATGTGGGGATAGATCTTCTGGGGCCTGAACTCAGGTTCCCTGCAAGCATAGCAAGTACACTTAACTACGGAGCCATCTCTCCAGCCCTAAAATAAAGTTTTTAATTAAATGTTTGTTTTTAAATTTTATTTTATGTGCATGGATGTTTCGACTTCAGGTATGTCTGTGTACCAAGTGCGTGTCTGGTACCTGCAGAGTCCAGGAGAGGAGGCCAGATCCTGTGGAACTGGAGTTACAGAAGGAGC